GACTTCGTACTAGATGCATTCTACTAAGTCTCCCTTATAGCAAGACTAAGCTGCGACGAGGTCAACCCACTTATATAAATCGAAAGGAGGCTGCGACCATACCAGAGGCAACACCATCTTGGTCTTCATATCTAATTAAATTTTATTTCCTTAACCTGCTCTTGTTTTCTGGAAGACTTCTTTGGCAAAGAACGCCGTATTGGGTACTTTTTGCGAAGTCTTCTTGAAAATAGGACTAAATGCGAATAAAAGTCCAAAATGATTGTACCACGGTAAGTATATCTAGGAAATTTCTAAAATAAAGTCCCAGTCTGTAGAAAACCTAAAATTCGTGAAGTTTGAGTTATTGCTAGATAGCCCAAAACATGATTACTGTGGAATCAGCCGGTTTAGATACATACATGGTTCATGAATCCAACCAAAAAGTGCTTATCTTTATTTTGATAGATGCATGATTAAGCTAATATTTTTCATGATCAGATCAAAAGCCCTATAGTACAGTATCTAAGGTTTAAATCATGAGTGTTTTAACCAAAATCCCAGGGATTATCTCGCCATAAGCATGTCAGTAGGGCGAATCGCATGTTTCCCTGTCTTGTTACAATTTGCGATCGGCTAACCAGAGTTTTAGTAGGCCTGATTAGGCCGATCTGCCTGACCTCTTATTGGTCAATTCTGTCAGCTTGGCAGATCGAGCGACAAAAGCGTGTAATGGAAAACCAGCGATTGCGAGTCTCTTGATAGCGTACATACGAAAAGGTAATTCATTTGTGTTATGAACGTTCAAGGGTTGTGGAAGAGATTTCGTCATCCACTGTAGATAGGATGGATTAGGAGGGAACTGAAGGATTGAAGACGAACGAGCTAGTCTCCCGGAAAGACGGCAAGGGGCAACTATGTGAGCGGGCCAAAATCAAGGCTAGTGAATGACGGGTGAGATGAACAAGCATGTTTGCCTATGCGTATGCATCTATTTCTGAGTGTCTGATTTTGAGCTACTGTTACCGTATGTGTGTGCATGCCAGTTGGATGCACAAAAGTAGGCGAAAGGAAGCGAGAGAAACTAGGTGATGGTTCGTTAATCCGCCCTGGCTAGTTTTCACGCAGACTAGTACATGCGCACTCGTGCACAAATACACAAAGTCACGGATAGACACGCAAGCCGGAACATGCAACACACATAAAATCATAGATACATATGAGTAAAAGGACAATGGAACCAAAAATCAACGGAGCTGTCTGTACCGGCCAAGTTAATGGCCGGATTAATCGCTTCTCGACTGACCCGATCCTTAGTCTATTGGTCTTCATAGCACAGATCTTTTCCATCAGAGGCTGGATCTGTTTGGAGGTAGGTATTAGCAACCTTGACTAGCCATGATTGTGATCCCTTGTATTGCTCCACCAGGAAACTTTTTCGGCAGCTAAAGACTTATAAAACCTGTCAAGCAAGTGATGAATTAGCCGATTTTTGATACTCATTTTCCCTTGTCTTCACTCTTCAAACATTGATGGCCGCAGAAAATCCTGATTCACCTTGGTAACCTGCGACAGCACTATATTGTCCCAGTTCACTCTTGCCGGCTACCCGTGAAGTTCCCGTCTCATCTGCTTTTACTATTTAACCTTTTTCCGCCTTTGTGTTTCTCAATTCATAGGCAGTTAAACCAGGCTTTCTGCAGGATATCAGCATCCACAAATGATATTCATATAAACTCATTGCCTTCATCCACCACTCCATAGTGGGGCAGTTTAATGTATCTGCCATATCTTATACTGTCTTGCCATCCTCTCAACCTCTGGCATGATATGAAGCTGATAATGTTCGTCGGAGGGCCAGATATCTATGAAAATGAATTCATCTCGGAGACTAATTGTCTGCCCATCAGATAACTCGAAGAAGGATGTGAGCGCAAAAGAACGACATAAAAGTTAAAACTTTTATCTGGTCCTCTCGTGTCCCTACGAGGATGCTGACGCGTCTCAGACATAAAACCCCCGAAAAATTAGCCCAACTGACTAGACGACTTAGTAAAAACACCAGATTGTCAGAAACATCAGACACAAAGAAAGAGGATGAAGTGACCGATGAGCAGGTATCGAAAATTCATGAAATACTTACTGAAACGACTATGACTCTGGCTGATATGGAGCTACGTGGAAGAACACAGAGTTGTTATGAGGGTAATGACAGTCCGGCTGAAGAGGGTGAAAGTGAAGATGATAGGGATGACGATGAGGAAGAGGCGGAGGAACAGGAAGATAGACTACCCTCGCCAAGTCCACGGAAACGCAAACAAGGCTTTATAATGAGTTCAACTCCTACTGGGTTTGTGATGCCAACAGTAAGTCATCAACTTCATCTATATCCACAGACAGCTTCGCCCGTTTCCGAGGCTGGCGTTCACCTGGATTTAGGGATCGAGAGAAAGAGCTCAAACAAAATAGAGGCCTCATTTGACTATATTCTTGATGAGACCGATGAGAGCAATTGTGTTTGGGCTTGTCACTGGCTGGATAGGAATGAAGAAGAGGAAGAACAGGGAGAACAAGGAGAACAAGATGACAGAGTAGAAAATAGACATATAAGTGAGGGGCATAAAGAGGAACAAAGAGACGATAAATATGAAGATTCAGAAGAAGAAGATGGAAATGAGTTGGCAAATGAATCAGATTCAGAATCATATGTAAAACGCCGAAGCAAAAAGATATTAGTACAGAAAAAGAATAAGAAATTTGAAGTTGACGAGGATGCAGTAAGTGTATTCAACATCAACATTTGTGATGAACACGATGGCATAGATCAAAGTACTGGAGGAGACTCTTGTGAGGCTGGATCCTCGAAGGAATCTTCGTTTGGTAGCACAGGTGACACGTTTGAGACAGCCATCCTAATACTGGATCTTCCCATTGAGTCTAACGGATCAGAGACCACTGCTAGCGTCCAGCTTTCAGAGCCCAACGTCTCCGAGCTAGTGGGAACTGCGGCTAAAAAACCAAGCTGTCCATGCCGGCAGCATCAGCAGGCTCAACTCTGGCGAAAACTGATAAAGAATGCCGAGAGTAGACAAAATCATGGAGACGAGGACATTAGGGGAGATGAGCAAATACAGGATGCGGATCGAATAAATGCGTGCAAGTGCTGCTGGTGCCCGCGGGTCTGTGGTTTGGGGCTTGTAGCCAGCCAGACTCAAGTCTACCCCTGCTGCTGCAATAGTTGTTGCTGCCTTTTCATTCCTGAGTTAACGAGATTAAGTAAGTTCCGTGGAGAAGTTGGTCGGAAGCCGGGGCTTGTCGAGCGTACAGAGAAACAGAGGGAGGAAGCTGAGGAGAGAGCACTAACCAAAAAGAGTTTAGTAGAGACAGATAGGTTTGAAAATCATAACGTCTTCCTTCCGCGGACCCATGAGATAGAAGAACAGTCGGAGTGCATATTGAAAGGATTTGGAGTGCGATGTCAGGATGGATTAAAGCCACCGCCAAGAAGGCGTAAGACTGCAGGCTCACATGGTGTTGAAGGGTTCTGTAGACAACATTACATTTATCAGGTTCAGCAACTTCTTTGCCGCTACCTACATCCGCAACAGCACAGATCCAGTCAACATATTCAAAACCGGCCAAACTCTAACATACAACGAGTCAATGCGTATGTGGCCAGAGGGAACACAGCGTGTCAATTGGCGTTGCACGTTGGCTTGCATCGTAATTCTCTGCACACTTGGCTGCAGGCAAGTGACCATAGGAAACCTTTATGCCAGGTCTTTCAACAACTCGATCTCCAGCAGCTTCAGAAACAGCCAAATTTACGAGAACCATACTCCTTGTTGCCCAATCAAACACTGAAGGGAATCAGTTTGCCAATTACGCGTTGCCAACACATTCGCAGCCCCATTTATCATCATTCCCACCATTATCCGCATTACAACCATCTTTACCCGAATAATCCCCACAATCCTCACACCTGCAACAACCATTACCACCAGAACCTGGTTCACTATGCGCGCTTGTTAACCCGTCGTATTGCTCTTCTCTCCAGCGTGCCCACCTTTCAGGCACTCACCGTGGAAACCCTGAGTAAGCTTGCCGATGCCCTGGAGGAGATGCACTTCAAGCCAAATGAATACATCATTCGCCAAGGAGCTCGAGGCGATACCTTCTATATCATCGCTAATGGCCAGGTGAAAGTGACGCAAAATGAGGCAGGCTCTGGCGAACTCGAAGGTCAGGCAGACGAATCTTTCAGGCAAGGCATCGGCACAGGTTCAGCTAAACGGGAGAAATTTATCCGTCTGATGGATCGTGGCGAATGGTTTGGAGAGAAGGCGTTGAATAAGTAAGTGGCTAAGCATGCTTAGTTTCCTTTAACGTCGTTAATCAACTATATTTTTATCCAATTAAATAATATTTATAGTTTTTTAAATCCTTGGCTTTATTATTAATAACCTCGGCATATATCTACTTCCCATTTATTTAGGTTAATGAATTATTTTCATAGTAAGACTATTTTTTTACATACTCTAGTTGCTATCATAATTCACTATATTTTGGCAGACAGCTTATCTTTTCAACCTCTATTTTACTTGACATTGACTGGATAGGTAATAATAGATGGTTCAACATGATATTTAATAAATGTCATACACTTTGAAAGAGGCATACCTGTATCTTCGAATAAAATAAGAGTGATTAAAACTAATTTATGCAGACTCATGAATTTCTATCATAGCCTTAAGTATTCTGACAATAATGAGTGAGAAGTCATATCATAGGTTACCAGATGTATAGCGAAGAACATATTTTACTCATCGAGGCTACTGGGTACAAGTAATTAATTATTTGCAATAAAAGATAGGCATGGCTTTTCCAGACCTTCCGAAATGTAAGTAAATAAAGATTTATCCAAGGATTATTTAAAGAATAGATTTCATTACAGCTTGCCTGACACCTTACTAACATTTTACATTCGAAATATCCTTTAATATTTTCAAAAAGAATGTAGTGAATTGAAATTTAAATATTTTCCAACGGTAAAATGATCTATACCAAGTCTTATCATTGACCTTATTAAGTGAAGGAAGACGGCTTACCTAAGTTTATATTATCCCTTACAAATTCCTCATTTCAACCCGATAATCATACTCAATTAGATTTTCTATGACGAAGCTCCTGTTAAATTTATATTCCTCATTACGCAAACACTTAAACTTATATATATATATATATATATATACTATCTCACTTGGCTGGCAAGCTATATCCTATTTTTCTCGGCCTAGTCGTGATCAGTGTCACTTATTGTTTGATAACATATTTTAAATTACAAGAAACAGGAAGACAATAAATTTCATAAAAAGTGAGGTCAGTGGTTCTTAAGGAAAGCAAATTAGTTACGCCAATAGGTAGAAA